GGCACGATCTGCTCTGCCCGCCCCCTCCTCATCCTCCTCCGACTCAGACGTTACTGAGCCCATCTCTTTTCACCCTCAGCAGCGTTTCTCCGGCATGACCCTCCCCGTTGCTGAGCTCTGGCCAACATTATCCTCTGTCTCTTCGACGACCACAAGGACGACTCTAAGCGGATTTCCGCCCGTGCCTTTGGTAAGCAGATCAAGGATCTGCCCAACCTCCTGGGCAGGCCTTCGATCTGTGGACATACTCGCAACATCTCTATCGCCTCTGTGCAGGGCCATCGCCTTTCTTCCATTCCTCACTCCTGCCATCTATCTGTTCGGAACTCTGTCGTCGCTGGCGAGGGTATGTCGTACCTTCCGCAACCTCTCACGGGCTCGATCTTGGGTCCTGCGTTCGAGCACAAGTATCAGAGTCCTATCACGCTACCGCCTGTTCTCGACAGCGAGACCGAGCAAGTGAGCGCTATGGACTTCCTTCATGACCATCACGACCAGCACGATAACCATGCTGAAGCGGAGGTGGAGGGCGAGCCAGGCTCCCACTCGACCTCCACTCATTAACGACGCAAGCGCGGTGCTCTCGGACACGGCAGCGACATCCCCGACGAGGCCATCGTCGGCGCATGACGTTACTTTTAAACCGCTTGCACAAGCCTCTCAAGCGCTTGCCCGCGAGATCTGCCGCACTTCGCGATACTCAGCCACCGCTCCAGTATCCGCCACTTCGGACGTTCGTCCAGTTCCGTATCCTATTTCTCCTGGTATGGTATCGCTGCCAATCGTTCTCCTTAATGCTTTCGTCACTCTCTGTTCCAGTCGTCACAAGCTTGTGGAAGCCCAGAACGACGCTATCGCGGACCCAACGGACCTAACGGCAACACCGGGACAAGAGATCTGAGCGCGGGATCTCGCCATCTGGCACCCGGAGCGGGCGACCGCTGGCGTTGAGTGTGAGTTCGATGGCATTGAGCAACTGGCACAGCTTGATGTCGAAGGCGGGCACGTCGACCTCGGCATTCACGCACTACAGCAACAACAGCAGAGAGGTGCGGTGGCGTTTCATGTTCGCCAAGGATGCTGTGCGACGACATGGTGCACGGCGTCTGGAGGGCGGTCGTTCTGCCAGGAACGTGCTCTCGTGTCCTCCGCTAGCCGTAGATATAGTCTGTAGATGTAGTTGAGAGCATGTAATAGATTTACCAGAATGAGCACTAATGTTGCCGCGCACACCGCCGGACTGAATGGAAAATATCTGGGTGAACTATTTATCAAATATTTGGAGGAACCACAAGGGGACCTGCAGCGCACGTAAAATACAATCCTCCCTATGTAGCGCTCACAGTAAATATTTGGGAAATAATTGGTGGAGGGTCCCTCCTCCCCTCCCTCCCTAAATACATCCCAAATATTTGGGGTTTACATCGAATATCTGGGAGGGGCATCCCTCCAACCCTCTCAAATATTTGGAGGGCCACTATAACATTTGGGCCAAATAATTCGAGTTTTACCATAACTATAAGGATGGAAAAATTTATTTGACTGATATCCCTGACCGTGCACCGATGAGATTGTTGCCGTTAGCGGCCTACCCTCCCTACGTCACACTCGGCGCGTCGGCACCTGTCACAGCCAACGAGCTGTGCCACCAAACAAACAAGGGTAAGCTTACTGATGCAGAGGTTGGTGCTGAGAAGCGAAGCAACCAGAGGTGACACAGCAAAGAGATGTGAAGAAGTATATTCCCTAGACTAGAAGGGGCAGTGAGGAGGTAGGGCTGCTAGCTACCTACAGAGGAGATGGGGGATCAACGAGAAGATCAAGTCTGAGGTTCTCTGCCTCAGACTCCGTACTATTTATACTAATACAATGGTGCACAGACCAGGTCTCTATTGTCCATTGTTTGGTCAGACTTCCCGCTGGCTCATGCCCTGTCCTGTGACCGGCCTCATGACATCCTTACGACTAATACCAGTCACCTGCCCGTGAGTGATGGTGGGCGCTCCCAGCCTTCTCAGGGTCTGGGGTTCGAATCTGGCTGCTCCAGTTCCTAATACGAGTTGTCCGCGGTTGAGGTGTGGTCACCTTGGTGCCCATAACCCCCAGGTCACGTGGCACAAGAAAACTGTGACACTACCCCCTCTTCAAGATCTGAGCTCCTGCGAAGCGTTCAAACCAAATATTGTGTTGAAACTCCCGAGCGACTGGTCGTGGGTTGTTGAGGGCGATCGGTTGCAGTGCATTTGAATGGAGAGCATAGAACTTGTCGAGTAGTTCCTTCACATATTTGACATTGCGTACTGGCTCCCAAGTCACTTCAGAGACATCATAGCCTGCCCATTTGACAAAGTATTGCACGTATCCACGGTTAAGGTGAGAGTCTAGAATCTTTTTGACCTCAAACTCATCGTGGCCTTTGACTTCAATAGGGTCAGTTTTCTCCGGGTTGCAGTTGCCAATCTCGTCTTCATGGTAGGGGATGAGCTTTGATGCATGGAAGACGGAGTGGACCTTGTTTTGCGGCGGAAGTTTGACTCTGAAGTCGACGGGTCCAATCTTTTCCGTTATCTCGTAAGGCCCGTAGTTCTTGGCTGAGAGCTTGGCTGACGGGTTACGGATCTTCAGGTCACGTCCTTTGAGCAAAACTTTGTCACCGACTTTGAAGAGAGGGTCCACACGGCTGTTACGTCCCATGCCTAAGTCCCTCCGGAACTCGGTCAGACACCGCGCTAACTCCGCCGGACCTTTGGACTTGCTTACAAATAGATACTTACGTACTGTGTCCGATTTCCTTTCCGCTTCCTTTCCGTTCCACGCCGGGGCCCATATGGCTTTCTGAGCGTCTACCCCATCTCCGCTGGAATGTCCGTTTTCCCATATCAGTGCCTGGTGCCACTTACATCACTTCTCCACTTAGTGTCGGTATTCTGTCACCTCCGATAGGACCTCCACCTCCGATTCGGACTTAGGGGACACCGGCTTCTTAGTATATAAACCCCTGGACTTAGTGCGGTGTTCCTCGGTTCGGATATCTAGTTACCCTATGCTCCGCTTGTACTCCATTGGTTACTTTACTCCAATCTACCTTCTCTGTCTCCATCTGACCTCTGCCCGACCTCCGTCCGATCTCTGCCTGTTCTCCGTCCGACCTCCGACTCCAAAATCAAGGACACTGTCGGGATCCTCAGGGCGTTGCTAATAGCTTCGCCGAAGTCCTCACCCCGTATCCGCCCAGCTCCGACTCCTAACCCCAGAACTCTGGAACTCCGGCGGCACAGTCCTAACAATATATCCGAACTCAACCTGAGATCCCGATGTCTGACTCCGACGACACCTTCAGGGGCTTCACGGCTCGACGCGAGCCCAACCCGCCTCGGACTTCCTCTCCGGAATCTCCGACCCGAAACCGTGTTGTGACCCGGTCCTTGCCCACCACTCCACATCCGACATCCGCTCCTCTTCCCCGATATTCTCCGAATAACCCCTTCGCCATCCCCACGTTCATGAGGCAACCTCCGGCTGGACCTGCGGGAAACCCGCCCGTAAACCCGACGACAACTCCGCAAGCATCATCGACACTGACCGTGGACTTAGCGCAGGCTATCAGCCTCCTTGCTCAGATGCTCCAGATTCCGGCCGCCGCAAACTTCAACCAAACGGCACTGTCTTCGGAGCGTGGCAACATCCGCGACCCAGACCAATTCGATGGGTCGGAGCCCGCCAAGCTCCGGTCGTTCTTCACCCAGCTAGAGTTGGTCTTTAATGCCCGGCCTCGAACTTTCAACACAGATGAGAAGAAGGTCACCTACGCAATTTCCTTCCTGAGGGGCACCGCTGTTACGACTGACTGTCGAGCGAGTAAGTGGAGACGAGCGAGGCAGGCAGGAGCGCTGACGAGCTCTGATTGCAGTGAGACTGGAGCGGAGCTCAACAGGCAGGACTGGAGACAAGATGTGTATTGAGCGAAGTATCTACAGAGCGAAATACACGATGGCTTACCTGGAGACAAGAGGTCGAAAATGGAGTCTCCAGGTAGCAAGGGCTCCGACTATATACGAGGAACAAACAATGGGCGCTAAGGGGACAATGGTGTTGCCATGGGCACCGAGTACAAGGGCGTAGGACAATAGCGAAGGGGAAACAAGGGGGGGCTATTGTCCGTGTGCAAACAAGGGAACACTACGCCAAATAGAGAACAATGGGTGAACGTACAAGGCAGTGGTCAGAATGGAATGGGAAACGTAGCCCCGTGGGGGCGGTTCGTGACAACCGCCCTCCAGTGGTTCAAATCCTACCTCCTAGAGAACTCCTCCGGGACGCCTCCGGTGTTCATGTTGGACTACGAGGTGTTCCAAGAAGAACTCCGGACGAACTTCGGACCTTGCGATGCCACCGGAGCTGTGGAACACGAGCTCGAGAACCTCCGGATGGTGGAAAACCAGCAGATTGCCAAGTACATCACCCAGTTCAGTCGCATCGCTACGCAAGTCTGCTGGGGTCACGACGCCCTCCGATACCAGTTCTACTGCGGACTCCCAGACCGCCTTAAGGACCGCATCTCCGAGATAGGCAAGCCCGACAACCTCTCGGACCTCCGTATTCTCGCCCAGAGCCTGGACCACCGGTATTGGGAGCGGAAGGCCGAACGCAACCGCGAAACTCCCGGTTCTTCTAAGTCTGGTTCCAAATCAGGCTCCAGGTCTAACCACTCCGAACCCTGCTCGTCCTCAAACTCCCAGTCGACTCCTCGCGCGCCCCAGAAGTCCTCCGACGGCAAGTCCAGCAACTCCGGCTCCACCCCGAAGTCCAACTCGAAACCCAAGTCTGCGGAAAAGTCCGCCCCGAAGCCATACGCGGACAAGCTCGGTAAGGACGGGAAACTCACCCCGGAGGAACGACAACGCCGTCTGGCAGGAAACCTCTGCCTCTTCTGCGGAGGAGCTGGACACTCCGCGAGTGCTTGCCCCAAGAAGATGACTCCATTGACAAAGGGCAGAGCAGCCCAAGCTAAGCCAACTCCGGGTGCCGAAACCCTGGCTCCGGACGGGGCAAAAAACTAGTCCGCAGTTCCCCTAACTCCGTGCCTGGCGGGAACTGCGTTGACGACGCTGGCACGGAGATCCAAGTCCGTCTTAACGCATCCGCTCTTTCTGACCACTCTTCCCTTACTGTTGACCTGTACTCCGAATCCTCTCCAAAGCCGTTCAAGGCCCTGATTGATAGCGGTTCCACTCATTGTTTCTTCGACTCCGAATTTGTTGATACTATTGGACTTCCGTCTCGCTCCGTTTCTCCGATCGCTCTCCGGTTATTCGACGGGACTTTCAACCAGGTAATTACCCGGGAAGTTTCCCTCACTCTGCAGTTCCCCTCCGGGGAAATCATGTCCGTAGATTTCTACGTCACTCCGCTCGACAAATCCGTCTCCACCATTCTGGGATACAGCTGGCTCTCCACCTACAATCCGTTGATTGACTGGAAGAAGCACAGTATCCAATTCCGGACCACGCCGACGGTACGTCCTTCCGTCTCTGTATCCGACGAACCTGAACTCTGGTCTCCGCCTCCGGCACCTCCGGAACCTCCGTCTTCGCCCTCTGCCCCGCAGGTCTCACTTGTGAACACCGTGGCATTTGCCCATGCTTGCAAGCTGCTGGGATCCGAGAGCTTCACGCTCTATCTGTCCTCCGCTTCAGCAGCCGAGGTTCTCGCCAGGAACTCCGCCTCCTCCGACTCCGTTCCGGACCTCTCCAACGTTCCGGAGGAGTACCACGAGTTCGCGGACGTCTTCAGCAAGACCAAGGCCGACACTCTTCCGGAGCACCGCCCCTACGACCTCAAGATCACCCTCAAGGAAGGTGCGGTACCTCCGCTCAGTCCCATCTACTCCCTCTCGCAGCTGGAACTGGACACTCTCCGAGAATACATCGACGAGAACCTCCGGTCCGGCTTCATCCGCCCGACCAATTCTCTGTGCGGAGCTCCGGTCCTCTTCATCAAGAAGAAGGACGGGTCTCTGCGACTCTGCGTCGACTACCGAGGGCTCAACAAGATCACCCAGAAGGACCGTTACCCGCTCCCGCTGATCTCCGACCTCCTAAAATCTCCCCGGAAGGCTCAGATCTATACGAAGATCGATCTCTGGCATGCCTACAACCTGGTCCGAATCGTGCCCGGAGATGAGTGGAAGACCGCCTTCCGGACCCACTACGGATCCTTCGAATGGCTCGTAATGCCATTCGGACTTTCCAACGCCCCTGCAGTGTTCCAACGCTTTGTCAACGAGGTCTTTGCGGACTTGCTAGACATCTGCGTAGTGGTCTACCTCGACGACATCCTCATCTACTCCGACTACCCGGCAGACCACCGGAAGCATGTCCAAGAAGCGCTCCGACGTCTCCGGAAGCATCAGCTTTACGTCCGCAAGGACAAGTGCGAATTCCGCGCGGACTCTGTCGAGTACCTCGGATACATCCTCTCCTCCGAAGGCCTCACTATGGCCGACTCCAAGGTCAAGGTGATCATGGACTGGCCGGAACCCCAGAAAGTCCGCAACATCCAATTGTTCCTAGGCTTCACGAACTTCTACCAGAGGTTCATCCATAACTACTCCGGGATCGTCCTTCTGCTGACCCAGCTTACCCAGAAATCCGTCCCGTAGAACTTCTCCGACGATGCTCGGAAGGCCTTCAACGCCTTGAAGCAGGCCTTCACCTCCGCCCCCGTACTCCACCACTGGGAACCGGACCAATAGATCACTGTCGAAACGGACACCTCGGACTACACCATCGCCGGAATTCTCTCCATCACTACCGACTCCGGTGAACTCCATCCTGTCGCCTTCCACTTCCGGACTTTGTCCGGTGCGGAACTGAACTACGACATACGACAAGGAACTCCTGGCAATCTACGAAGCCTTCCGGACCTGGCAGCACTACCTCGAGGGCTCCGGAACTCCAATTGACATTGTCACCGATCACAAGAATCTGGAGTACTTTGCAACCTCCAAAATGTTGACCCGGCGCCAGGCTCGGTGGTCGGAATTCCTGTCGCAGTTTAACCTGGTCATCCGGTTCCGTCCTGGAAAACTTGGGGCCAAGCCCGACGCACTCACCCGCCGTTGGGACGTCTACCCAAAAGGGGGGGATAGTGACTACTCCGCCGTCAACCCACACAATTTCCGGCCAGTGTTCACCCAGGAGCAACTCGCCGCGTCCCTCCGAGCGACGTATCTCCGAGAACCGGTACTTTGAGCCTCTATGCTCTTCGACGCTGAGAAACTCCGCTCCGACATCCGAGCAGCCCAGAACTCCGATACCCCATCCCCGGAACTCGCCGCAGCCATCAAGTCGGCCTTTGAAGGCAACCCCCGTTGGTCCAAGGATGAAGAAGGGTTCCTCCGGCTCAACGGCCGAATCTACGTACCGGACTCCGATGACCTTTGCCTCTGAGTCCTCCGGGCCTACAACGACCACCTGACCGCCGGTCACTGCACTCGGCGCAAGATTTTCTGCAGGACAAGTCAGTACAACTCCGAAAGCGGAACCCCGGACTTACTTGGCCGGAGCCCACACGGTCTCAGTCTGAGCCCGCTTCCGCTTGGGCGTGATGTTGACGATGTCGTCGTCATCGTCAGCGTCGTCATCGTCGGTGTCGTCATCGTTGTTGTCGTCATCGTCGTTGTCGGTGTCGTCATTGTTGTCATTGGCATCGCAGCGGCGTTTGCTGGGGCCGGCCTTCAGAGAACTCCGGGGGGACTCAACGCGCCCCGATGTAGGCTTCCGGGCCCGCTCCTTCTCTGCCCGCTGCCACTCCGCCAGCTCCTTCTGCAGGCGCGCCCTCTCCCGCTCCAGCAGCTCCACCTCCTCCCTCGCCCGCCGCTCCCGCTCCGCCTTCTCCCGCTCCGCTCTATCCCACTCCACGCGCTCCTCGTCCTCCCGGATCTGCTGTCGCACCACCGTGAGCTGGGTGAGCAGCTGTTGCTGTTTCTTGATGGGCGGAGTTCCGGGCATGGCGTTCGACTTAGAAGAAAAAATGTGGCGGCAGCGAGTATGGTGGGGTTAAGTGACGCCTGCAGCACCGGACCTGCAGCACCCCGACCTTTATAGACCCTCCGCTCCCCGACTCCGCTTGCCCTAAACATCGCCGATCAAGCTGGCTTCTTTTTCCGCTCACTTTTCCACATCCTCCGTTGCAAACTCCCCGAACTCTGCACATGATCCGTTCCGGTCCCCGGACTCCAAATTCCGTACGATACCATAGACCCTGGGGCCTCGGCCCTAAGGGGGTGATACTGTTACGTTCCGTGCCTAAGTCCCTCTGGAACTCTGTTGGACACCACGCTAACTCCGCCAGACCTCTGGACTTGCTTACGGATAGATACTTACGTACTGGTTCTGTTTCCGTTTCCATTTCCTTTCCGTTCCCCACTGGGGCCCATACGGCTTTCCGAGCGTCTACCCTAGCTCTGCTGGAATGTCCGTTTTCCCATATCAGTGCATGGCACCACTTACATCACTTCTCCACTTAGCATCGGTATTCTGCCACCTCCAATCGGACCTCCACCTCCGATTCGGACTTAGGGGACACCGGCGCCTTGGTATATAAACCCCTGGACTTAGTGCGGTGTTCCTCAGTTCGGATATCTCATTACCTTATGCTCCACTTGTACTCTATCAGTTATCTTACTCCAATCTACTCTCCCTACCTCCATCCGTTCTCTACCGACCTCCGTCCGATCTCTATCTGATCTCCGTCCGACCTCCAACTCCGAAATCGAGGACACCGTCGGGATCCTCAGGGTGTTGCCAATAGCTTCGCCGAAGTCCTCACCCCGTGTCCGCCCAGCTCCGACCCCGAACCCCGGAATTCCGGAACTCCGGCAGCATAGTCCTAACAACCACCTGGACTATGACTCTCCAGAGGATGAGCACAATTGGGATGACGACGGAGGCAGCCGTGACAAGTTATACGTCATGTGCGCCGAATTTGTCTTCATGACTCCGAACGAGGAGAAGGAGACGGTTCCGTCTTCCATCCAATATGATGCGAAGCGCATCCTGCAATCCTTCCAACTGGAAGCTACGACCGCACCCACCAAATCCCTCAAGAATGTGTGGCTGTACAATTCCCATATATACCGACTGAAAGATCCAAAGAATCAACCCGTGTGCGACCCAGAAGCCCAGCAGCCAATATGCATTGAGATGATGATTAACAGCGTGCCTGCGTACACCCTGATTGACATGGGCTGTACGATGGTGGCCATGTCACCAGGACAGGCCTTCATCTCCAAGGCGGATGGAATCGATCTGTAGGAGCAGATGAGCCTACAGTTGGGCACAAAGGGTAGTCGTACGCGCATCAACCACGGTGCGCGAGCCATGATTAAGGTTGGCTCGGTGCGCGAGCCGTGTTATTTCAACGTGGTCAATATCGACCAATATGACGTAGTCCTTGGGACTCCCTTGCTGAAGAAGCACAATGTCATGCTTGACTTCAAGAACCGCTCCGTCAAGATTGACGGAGTGCCCGTTGGCATCTATATGGCTGTAGAAGAAGCCGAAGTCCTGCATCTTCAAGGCGAAGCACGTAAGCAACGAATCATTGCTCAGCTGAAGGAGACAGCGGAACACGCTGTACAAAGACAGCAGGGGTCCGCAGCGGGAACAACCGCGGCGGAGCCTCTTCACTCCCGCTTTGTGGGAAGCAGGGTGTCGTTCGGAGGGGAGGGCAGTGGTACCACGACCGCCTCTCGCGACACGGTACCCAACGTGGCGTCCAACTGGACGTCTGAGAAGGGTAAACCGTCACGACCTGAACAACACCAGACGCAAAACAGACGTCAAGATGCTGAGATTGGCGGAACGAGTCGTTCCATCGCAACACTCATCTACCCAACCAAAGTTGAACTTCTATGGCATGCCAGACCCATTGGGGCTGAACGAACTGTTCATGGCAATGTTCGAGGATTTCATTGAAGATGAGGAAATTCGTAAGACACATCGAGAACCACCGCCACCAGGCAGCGAGGAGGAACGCCTCCAGCAGCTCTGTGACAAGTGGTACAAAGACTGTGAGGACATCATGCAATCTCCTCCGGATGGCCTCCCTCCATGGAGAGTGGTCAACCACCGCATACCGCTCATCAATCCCGATAAGCGGTACAACTACCAGTTGCCTCGAGTCCCTAGGATGATCAAAGAAGATCTCCTGGACAAGATCAACTGGTACGTCAAGGCGAAATGGTGGAGAGAAGCTCACGCTCCTCAGGCCGCTCCTCTTCTTTGCATTCACAAGAAGAATGGCAAACTATGAACCATAGTCGATGCCCGTCAGCGGAACGACAACACCATCAAGGACGTCACCCCGCTGTCCGACCAGGACCAAATCCGAATGGATGTAGCTCAGGCCAAGTACAGGTCGAAAATCGACCTGTCGGACGCGTATGAGCAGATTCGAATCGAAATGCAAGACGTGTCCAAGACCGTGTTTGCGACTCCATTCGGAGTATTCGAGAGTCTAGTTATGCAGCAGGGCAATTGCAACGCTCCCACCACGTTCCAATGGTTGATGACAACCCTCTTTTGCGACTTCATTGGACGATTTGTCCACGTCTACTTAGACGATATCTTCGTCTTCTCGGACTCGATAGAGGATCACGAGAAACACTTAAAGCTTGTGTTCGACAAGCTTCGTGAAGCCAAACTGTACCTGAGCAAGAATAAATGCGATATTTATTCTAAGCATATGGACTGCCTAGGACATGTAATTGACGATCGAGGCCTCCACGCGGATGCTGATAAGATGGAGAGAATCCGAAACTGGCGAACGCCTCGCTCGTACCATGAGGTACAGCAATTCCTTGGCCTCATCAACTATCTGGCAGCCTTCATGCCTGACATCTCAGCGTACATGTCTCCGTTGTCGGAGATGGCTCGTAATGAGCGAGCGTTCGTATGGCGACCACTTCATTAGAAGTGCCTTGACATGATCAAGGCTATGGCCTGTCGAGCCCCAATTCTAAAGCCTATCGACCACCGGTCGAACGAGCCCATTTGGCTCATCTGTAACGCATCCGTCCATGGCGTCGGAGCGTTGTACGGCCAAGGACCGGATTGGCAGACCTGTCGTCCCACCAGCTTCCACTCACAGAAGTTCACCACTGCTCAACAGTCGTATCCGACTTACGAGCAGGAAGCATTGGCGATCCTGGAAGGATTGATGAAGTGGGAGGACAAGCTTATGGAACTCAAGTTTACGGTCGTAACCGACCATGAATCCCTGACGTACTTCAAGAAGACTCTGGGCCCTAGTCCCTGTCGAATTCAATGGTTGGACTACTTGTCACGGTTTGACTTCTCAGTATGACACATACCGGACAAGGACAACAAGGTCGCTGATTGTCTCTCTCGCTACTACAAGAATGACAATGCGGATGAATTTCATCCGCATCATGAGTATGTGAACACCGACATGCGGCTGGATCCGGACTGGGACCACTTGCCGGAGAAACACGTAGAAGAGCTACGCGCGGGCAGGATCATCCGTCAGAACCCAGGTGGCCTGGATCCCCAGGAACGTGATCGCTAGCGAGAGCTGAAGATGCGCATTGAGCCACGTACCGTCAAAGCCGACGAAATGGCCGCCGCATCGGCACGTAAGAGTGCTCCCGTCAAGACAGAAGTAGAATGTTCAGTGGACGTCCCGAATTCCGCTCCAGACTACAACCCGACGGTAGGCGAGTTGGTGGCGAATGGACCCTCCCTTCAATCGAAGATAGAAGGTCTGGACGGATTCATGCAAGCAGTGCTGAAGCACTACAAAAAAGACCCGACGTTCAGCAAGGTTCTAGAGAACCCCGCTGCCCACTCCGCTTTCAGATTGTCCGACCGACTAATCTATACGACAAATTGCCAAGCCAAATTGGTATTGTGCTTACCTATCGGTAAGGTCGACCAGTGTACGATCACGCAGGTTGCAATTGACCTAGCTCACACCACCATCGGCCATTTCGGTACTCAGAAAACTTCTGAGTACGCGCGGCGATGGTTCTGGTGGCCGAAGATGGGTCGAGAAATTGACAAGTTCTGCATCTCTTGTCAGAAATGCCAGACAGTCAAGCCCCGTAATCATTTGATTGCGGGGCTCCTTCACAAGCTTCCCATCCCACTCGTCCCGTGGATAGCCATCACCATGGACTTTGTAGGACCGTTCCCTCGCTCTGGAGGGTACGACTACGTATGGGTAGTTGTCTGTCGACTCACCTCCATGGTCCATCTCATTGCCATCCGCACGACCGACACGGCATTGGACTTGGCAGAGACATTCCTTCGGGAAGTAGTGCAACTGCACGGCCTCCCGCAGACTATTGTATCCGATAGAGACCCGAAGTTTACTTTGGTGTTCTGGTGTGAACTCCATTGACTGATGGGCACGCAACTTCTCATGTTGACCGTGTTCCATCCGCAGACGGGTGGAGCGTCAGAGCGAACAATTTGTTCGATTAACCAAGTGCTACGAGCCATGGTCAGCCCTGACCAGCTCGACTGGATCGACAAGCTGCCGATCGCTGAGTTCGCATTGAACTCATTCACCAGCGCGATGACTGGATATGCCCTGTTTGAATTGAACTATGGCTACCTACCGCAAACCATGGCTGGCATAGACTAAATGTGGATCCAGCTCACCTTGCGGATTGATCCTCAAAAACCTGGAGTCGGAATCCAGATCATTGAGGATCCAGCTCACTGAGGATCTGGATCAAGGGTTGTGTCAAAGTTGGTATGATCCGCAGATCATAACCCCACACGAAATGTGTTTAAAATTGGTAAATATGTATAAAACAACAGTGTTTCTTGCATTACTCTGAGGCTCACTGAGGATCAGGAGCCGCAAATGAGCCGGATCCGCAGTGATCCGGATTCGCAGATCAGGATCCTTGAGGATCTGGATCAAGGCTTCTGATCCTCAAAAACCCGCAGGTGGGGATCCGGATTGAGCTGCGGATGATCCGCGTTCAGCCCTGGACTGGCATCCACTCAGATACTGAGTTCAAAGGAGTCTGAGCATTTGCTCAGAGGGCTCGTGCCAATCTATTGATTGTGCACGATGCCATTCTCACTGTGCGTGTCACACAGACGCATTACGCGAACTTGCACCGGCAAGAGGAGCCGGACATTGCTGTCGGGTCATTAGTATTCCTGTCGACTCAGAACCTGTCGTTTCCAAAAGGGAGAGCAAGGAAGTTAATACCAAAGTATATTAGTCCCTATGCTGTAATAGCAGCTCATCCTGAGACGTCTACATATACATTGGATTTACCACAGGATATGAAAGATCGGAGGAACAATCCTACCTTTCATGTGTCGCTGTTATGATGACATGAGGCAAATGATGACGTTCTGTTCCCTCATCGCGACTCGAGTGCGTTCTACGATGTAGGGGCAAGCAAAGAGCAGGAGTGGTATGTTGATAAAATTGTCGACCACCAGTGGGTGGGTAATAGGTTAGAGTTGCGTGTCCGCTGGACGCACAACGGCTTAAGCTGGGAACCTTACGCGGAATGCAGTAAGTTAGCAGTGGTGGACGAGTACTTGGTGCTAAACGGCGTCAAGCACTGGCGCACCCTGCCAAAGAAGTCGTGATGACGCGCCACGTTGATCACGTGATCGTGACATGGTGCGATACCAAGTGGACGGAACGAGCGCTGATCCGATTCGATCTCAATCGTTCATAGCTCATGGCCCGTCAAAAGATGGCATAAGGTCGCTGCCGTCACCCGTCCCCAGCTCAATGTCGCCCTCGACGCTAGCACCACCATGGATGCTCAGCAACCTCAACACCAGCACCTTGCCTCCATGACCGTCAACATCGACAGTCAGCAACAGAAACAACATCATCTGCAACAGCTGCAACAGGCCAACCCGCACTTCGCCATGCTGGCTCCAGTGGAGCTTGGACCACCGATGGCCACTGGCTTCACCGTGCATTCTCCGCCCATGCACGCGAGCCTGCATGCGTCGTCTTCGACGTACGGGCAGCATCAGGGCAACGTCGCGCAGCCCTCCATGTTCCAAGGGAACTCGAGCCTGACGATGGGCATGCTGATGGGCCTCGATCCAAGATACCAGATGGCGCCCTCGTACATGGGCTACACACCTCAAACAGCGCACGCGGGCCCCATCCAGCCATTCGTCCCTCCAGCGCTGACCTCCATATTGATGCCCCCGGGGATGCCCCCACTGCTGATGTCGAGGCCGACATCGCAGTGGATCGTCTTGAGTGACGACATGGCGCCGATGGTGCATTGCAAGGGATGTCCAGCCTGTACGACCTGGGTGCACCACATCCAGGAGGCTGCGAGGATGGACCTGTCCTTTGCAGAGGCCAACAGAGCCGCGCGCGTCGCCACGCAAGAGCAGCTCTGCGACCACTTCTGACGGTGGCAGGGTTCTGAAGGGGGAGGGATGCCGGCCGAACTCCGACAGGAGATCGAGCGGCTGAAGAAGGAGAACGAGCTCCTCTGCCGTGAGTCAGAGGACCGTGGTTGTGAGATTGACGACCTGGAGGCCCGGGTGAATGAAGCCTGGGAAGCCAGCGAGCACCACAAGGAAAGGGCGAGGCAGCTGGAAGACGAGTTGCGTCGTCATCGATGCTCTCGATCACTGTCCCCGAGACTGCGGCGTCGAGAACACTCACCTCCACCACGGCCCACACCACCTTGCCCCCCTCTGTATCATCAGTTTCCGAACAGGCCCTGTCCGCTCCTGTACGGAGACCGCTACTACGCCCCCCCGCGAGGCGAACCTGTTGTCGCCAGCTCCCACCATGCCGCCAAGCGACTTCCTGCAAGGCTCGTCATCGAGCTCGCGACAGCTCGGCCCCAAGGCAGCGTTCAACTCTGATATGGAGGACGACAACGTCGATAGCGAGTCCAAGGGCTACAACATCAAGAAGGGCAAGCAGTGTGCATTCAATAATGCGAACCGCGCCGTCCTGTGTCGGAACCGGGAGCAGCTGATCAGCCAAGTGACGGGGACCATGCCTCAACAACCGGCACCCCCACCTCCTGCGCCGACGCTTCCTGCGCTGGGCCCGAGTGCCGGGCTGGACCCTCCGCGCATACCAGGAGGCATGCGCCAGCCCCATATGGCCGTGTGGCAGGAGGCGATGCCAATCCAGGCTGCCGACGCCTGGTCCGACTACGTACCGCTGAACCACCAGCAGTACTGGGAGTTGGTGCGGTCGGCCAGAGCCCAGGGAGGTGGCGCGTACAATCATGTGCGTGACCTCCTTCATCAATATGCCGCGAACGGAGCCCTGGGCGCGTTCAACTACCTCCACCAGCTCAAGATGAGCTGGTCGGACCCGCACCGCACGGAGACACAATCGCAGGCCCGCCGCGCTCGTGAGTTCGGATGAGAGATGGTTCACTCGAACCCCTCTCGCACCGAGAGGAACCCGGGCATGTAGAACCCGAGCCATACAGACCCGCTGGAGAGGTGGTTGGAGTACTGGCACCAGTACCTGGACACCTTGCTGGTGTACCTCCCTATCACCCCTCAGCTGGGAAGGCCAACCCGAGATCACACCCGGGGCCACATCCTCCTGCGCGCCCTCATCCCCAAGCTCAAGGGCGCCCAGCAGTCGGCCGAGCACGCACAGTTCCTGGAGGTCACCGCCCAACTCTTCTTGATTCCCAGGCTCTACTGACAAATTGTCAACGAGGGCCACTACCCCGAAGGTACGGAGGAGCGACTGCTCCCCTACCCAGGTCAAGTTACCAACATGTCGATATTCGACTTGGCAGCGTGGTATGCCCATTGCAAGCTCAGTGCGGCCTCCATTGCGCTCATGTAACCACTGGCGGTGTGCATGTGCTAGTTCTACGAGCGCCGCAACCCCAACTCTGGGGAGGCCTTCCTCCAATGGCCGCACACCATGGCCGAGGTCACGGTCGTGCCCGCGCTCGTGGAACTTGCGCTGCAAAAGAACCCGGGCGCAACCACCAGTCACGTGACCGCGCCTCCCCCCCCCCCGGTAATCGAGGGCATCAACATCGACGAAACCATGGAGGAAGCGCAGGGGGTTGACGAGGGCCAGGCCGATGAGCCTGGGCCCAGTGGTACAGTACTGTCGATCGACGCCCCGGGCCCATCACCTCCCTCAGCCTGAGCACACCGACCACCTCCGTACGTGTGGGGTCGGGTGTCTCACCTGCGTCGTGTTACGTCGCCTTGTCGGCACCTCGTCTCCCGCTCACCCGCATTGCTCACCCGCAATATTGTCTCACTCGCGCCACATCAAAATTCTCTCGCGCATCATCCCCGCGCGTCCTATCAGACACTTATGGTTTCTCTCTCTCTCTCATACGGACATGGCTATTCCATGCATTTCATATCTCTCATTGGCATCACACGAGAACCTGGCACAGGTTCTGGAGGGGGAGAATGTAACGGGTCCGTTACTATCTTATCTTATCTATACAGTTAATCTAAATCTTGTATCTACATCTCGATCGTCATGGTGATCGGCGCTGATCCGTCTAGATCCGCGCGATGTGGCGAAGGCTTCTGTCACAGTTTTCTCATGCCACGTGACCTGGGGGTCATGTGCACTAAGGCAAATGCACACATCAACCGTGGATAACTCGTATTGGAAACTGGAGCACCCGGATTCGAACCTCAGACCTCGAGGGGGCTGGGAGCGCCCACCATCACTCACGGGCAGGTGACTGGTGTGTCAGCAGGGGCGCTTACTCATGAGCAGAAGTCCGGACTTGGTACGACTCAGGTATTAGTCGTAAGAAGGTCATGAGGCGGGTCAGGGGATAGGACATGAGGCAGAGAACTCTGACCAAACGATGGTCAATAGATAACTGGTCTGTGCACCATTGTAGTAGTATAAGTAGTAGGGGGTCTGAGGCAGGGAACCTCAGACTTGATCTTCTCGTTGATCCCCCATCTTCTCTGTAGGTAGCTAGCAGCCCTACCTCCTCACTGCCCCTTCTAGTCTAGGGAATTCACATCTTTGCATCATCTCTTTGCTGTGTCACCTCTGGTTGCTTCGCCTCTCAGCACCAACCTCTGCACCAGTAAGCTTACCCTTGTTTGTTTGGTGGCACAGCTCGTTGGCTGGAACATTAGATCAAGTCTCTTACCCATCCCCTCCGTGGAGTGTCTCAAACACTTGCGGACCAGATCTCTCTCCCCAGGAGTTTTTTGAAACGTTTATCATCCCCCCCCACTATCCTTCCATCCGACTCGGACCTACCGGAGTTTACCCGTCATCACTTCAAGAGACACGGTCACCTCGACGTCCAGTCCCAAATTGACTACACCCTTGCAGACGACATGTCAGATCGACTTTGTCATCGCCGTCAATATCGGCATACCCCTATCGTTCCCCGTCGCAAGACTCTTCCTCCATCTGCACCCTCTTCCCAGCCGCTTGACAGACCGCTTGCTGCACCTCTCACCACACTGCCACCAGTCTTGGCCTCATCAGTGTACTGTGAAGGATGGTAAGACGAACACGCTCCAGAGCCTAGTGCACAGTAAGGTGCTCGCAAAGTTGCCAACAATGACGACCTATGATTTCGCTTCCGCCACCAGACCCTAGATCGCCGACAATGCAAAGAGTCTCCAAACGTACACTCATGACTTGTCGAGATGGCTGTTTTATCGGGTGCGAGAGGATGCAGGCACACAGCAATCGTGCGACACGTCGACACACTCGAGAGTCGGGAGAACACGAGACCCTGCCGCAGCGCAGTATTACCATAGTATAGATGGTAGAACCAGCGCTCCGGCAGATCACATGGCCTTGGCTTGCAACAAGGCCTGCTAGGTGGCGCACTGTAATTACTTATGCCTGGCGTCGCTCGCCTTCGTGTCCTAGCATGTCTGGAAACGGGAAAGGAATACAAGAGGATTCACCTTGTAGACGTGAAGGGTGCAGGAAAGGGGTTCGAGAGGCGTCGGGGGCATCGAGCTTACCAGGCAGCAGGGAAAAAGGTGGGCACATGGACCCTGCGACACAAATCTCTGCGCCAAGGGGGGGCACTTACGGGGCACTTCAACTCATGTCACAATAAAGGGGAAGAGAGGAGGGAAGGGGAGGAAACAAGGGCGATTGGGACAGCCCAAAGTATTCGGGACATGAGATTACAGAGAACAGGGAACGTACCTAGACGAGTGCAGCTCAGAGCCGGCCACAACCATGGGCGCGGGGAATTCGCAACAGAGATACGTGACCGGGATCGATGCTCTCTTGCTCGACAGATTTTGCTGCTGCTGTTCTGATGACAGCCTGACGGAGTCGAATGTCGGGTTCGACAACCAGGGAGGTCGGTAAGGTGAGGAGATTATTGAAAAGGGAGCATGCGCGTTGGGATAGTAGCCCTGGTCAGAATTGAGCATATTCTGTAGCCGCCCGTATTTTGTATGTCCGTATTTTAAGTCACGTCACCCAAGCCGCCTGCACGTTTGTTACTACCAGTTTGTCACACCCCATTGCAGCCAAGTCGTGCGCAACCGCACCACCCCGCTGTTAGAACTGCGCCGCCGGAGTTCCGGGGTCAGGAGTCGGAGCTGGGCGGACACGGGGTGAGGACTTCGGTGAAGCTATTAGCAACGCTCTGAGGATCCCGACAGTGTCCTCGATTTTGGAGTCGGAGGTCGGACGGAGGACGGGCGGAGATTGGGCGGAGGTCAGGGCAGAGGTTGGATGGAGACCAAGAGAGTAGATTGGAGTAAGGTAACTGACAGAGTACAAGCGGAGCGTAAGGTAACAAGATATCCGAACTGAGGAACACCGCACTAAGTCCAGGGGTTTAAATACTAAGAAGCCGGTGTCCCCTAAGTCCGAATGGGAGGTGGAGGTCCGATCGGAGGTGACGGAATACCGATGCTAAGTGGAGAAGTGATGTAAGTGGCGCCAGGCACTGATATGGGAAAACAGACATTCCAGCGGAGATGGGGTAGACGCTCGGAAAGCCATATGGGCCCCAGCGGGGAACGGAAAGGAAGCGGAAAGGGAATCGGAAACAGTACGTAAGTATCTAATCGTAAGCAAGTCCGAAAGTCCGGCGGAGTAAGCGCGGTGTCCGACGGAGTTCCGGAGGGACTTAGGCATGGGACGTAACACCCGCACGCATCTGCATATTTATGCGCCTCTCGAAACCACAGTGTACTTCACCACAAGAGCAGTTTTGTCATTAGAAATGTCTGAGACTCCCTTTGGTTCACCTTGAGCTGAATTTGTTGGGGTCCCAAGCCTCCTTCGAGCCATATTATTGCTCGCACGCACCTTACTAGCGCGGGCTCGGTGCAGCCGCAGTAAGATATCTCCTATTGTCACCCTCATGTGGTTCAACTAGCGCACCCAAGTTGGGTGGCTATGGTAATGTGTAATGTCAGATTAGCCGCCTTGAACTTTTGCTTGTGCTGCTGCACCCGCGATCCCATTACAATCGCAACATCTGGATAGTTCATACAGTCCACTGAAACAATGTGCAAGAACGCGAGTAGCAGTACACAAAAGTCTGATATCATATCACTAGTGTGCGCGAAGGCCCCAACGAGTGTTGTTGTGCAGGTTGTGACGTACAGGTGACAAGCACTCAGGCGGTTTGGGTGACGTGACTCAAAAATAGGGATGTACAAAATACGGGCGGCTACAAGATATGCTCAATTCTGACTGGGGCTAGTGGATATCTTCTATGACATCTGGAAAAACAACTTTTGCAAATTGACACTAATTATCACTATTCAGATAATCTCATCTATATTAGCAAGTGTTAGCAGAGATAACATCTACATTAGAGCTACTATTCAGATGCGCTTCTTCAGTAGTGCAACTAAGCACTAATTAGTATACTTGGTACTAGTGATGACTACTCTTCACTATCACTTTTTCTGTAGTTCCATGTAGTGCCAACATGATACTATTATAGCACTACTGCAAATGTGGTCCTCCAATTTTCGCTATTTTGCACTACTGTAGTACTATTTTGCGCTATTTTAGCACTACTCATTTAGGGGAGACTCAAATAAGATGACAATCCTTTATTTATAGCTCATAGTTCTCAACTCAAGCATTACACACCTCTATAGCTGCAAAATCACCATGATAGCTGACTTATATTTGAGGGCACAACTCAACACAGAACTTATTATCATGTA